AAAAAAAAAAAAAAAAAAAAAAAAAGGCATCAGAAATGAACAAACGAAAGCACGAATGAACCCACCTCAGGTCATGTTGGTGCCCTCGATTGCACAGCCCAGGCACGAGCATCCAACCTTTTGGATGTTGAGCCCTTCCCGATGCACAGTTCAATCTCCATCCCGACCAAAAGCCTAGGAACAACAATCTCCTTTTGTGCACGTGTGTATGTGTGCGTGTGTCACAGAGAGAGAGAGAGAGAGAGGATGGTGCGTTTGTGTGTGTGCCTGACTGTGGCAGACTGTTTCGTCGGACTTTCACCGACTCATCAGGAGGTAGAACCTCGACAGTTTGTGTCTGTGCGCGTGCGCGCTTGTGTGTGTGTGGGTGGGTGGGTGTGGATGTGTGAGTCTATGTAGAACGCGTAGAGTAGTATAGAACAATGCAGAGTCCAATCAACGTCTTCGAGTAGTTTAGTGTGTCTGTAGCTTACTGTCAAGAGGCCGGGCAGTGGAAACGTGGTTACTAAATGTTCCACATGTGCATTGGCCCGGTACAGTTTGCGGGACCGGTGCTGGCCCTGTAGGCCCGTGGGCATGCTAATGCGGGATGTCGAGGTAGGCACGCAGCCATGCTAATGCGCGATGTCGGGGTAGGCACGCGGCCATGCTAATGCACGATGTCGGGGATGGCACGAGGCCATGCTAATGCGCGATGCCAGGGTAGGCACACGAGCATGGTAATGCACGATGTCGGGGTAGGCACGCGGGCCCGGTACCACGCGTGGTACTGGCACAGGGTGGCGCACAGGAGTCTTACCGGCCCTGGAGCAGTGCCGCGACAGTTCACCTTTCTAAGACAAAACCATCAGCAGATGATCGGGACCATTATGCAACAAAAGATCGGTGGGCCCCGATCGTCTGCTTGTCACAGGCAGGAAATTAGTGATAGTTATATACGTAGTGACAAAACAACACTTAGAAGGTAAGCGAAGGAAGGTCAAAGAAGGTCGAGGAAGAAAGCAAATGGATTGTAGAAGGAAAGAAGGCATGACCCTAAGTGAAGGCAGACAAGTGAAGAAGATTAGAAGGAAGAAAGAGATGACGGCAGGAAGACAGGCAGGCGAAGACAAAAAAAGAAAAAAAAAAACGAACTTAAGAGAAACAGGTGGAACGAAAACGAAAGCAAAAAAAGGAAGCAATCGAATCAAAGGTAAGGGACAGAAGGGAGGAGGGAAAAAAAACACAACAGGGGAAAAAAATGTAAGTAAAGGCCATATGGTCACACACCTTTGCATGAGGCACAAGCAGCTACTCCTTCCTATACCCATGACTAAGAAGCGCAGGACAAGAAAGGAATTTTGAGACGAATGAAACAATAGAATCACGGCGGATAATGTAGTTAAAGGAAGGAAAGCAATTACGGGAAGGAATGGTTAAGGAGGCTAAAGAAAGTAGTAAGAAAAATGCAGGCGAAGGAAGAACGAAGCCAAAGCAAGACCGTATAGAACTGCAAATATCTTATGCAACAGATGGGGATGACGCACAAATGTGAGGGAATGGAGGCAGGAAGGTTAGGCATGGAAGGATGGTGCACAGGTCAAGGAAGCTGCACGAAGCTCGAAGAGGCTAAAAGGACGCTAAGGAGAGGAAGGAAGATCGTGAACGGGTAAAAGGTTTCAGCCTTCCCAAACTGAGCAGAACCAGTGACGGTCTCAAGTGCATGTGGCCACACAAATGAATAGTGGGTGCAGTACGTCCCTCTGTCGAGGGGACCATCAAGACAAGGTTCACGAGAAAGTTGCCACGACTTTAAGACAGCAAGCAGTGTAGGCAGCCACAACCCGCAATGATTTTGAAGTCACTCAATGAACAGGAGTCAAACTCTATGCATGCGTGTCTTTCAAAGATCCCCAAATTCTCTCCTCATTCCAACCACAAATCATCACAAACCATCCATCAAACAAAAAAGGTATAGATAGGCAACATACGAGAAGATGCAAGGTTGCCCACGTTTGTGTGGTTAAGCTTTGTCTGCCACCGGAGTGGCACAATCTGTGCGTGTGCGTGTGCGTGTGTGTATTGTCACTGGATGCCAAACACCTTCACTAACGATGGAAACGAAAGGGCTTGCCGACATGACAAAGCTACAACATCAGTGTCCACCTGAACAGGATGTGAGACGATGTCAAGTGAAAAGTTGCGGCCTCAACAGTTACTAGCTCCAAACCCATAACTGAAATGGGCAGGATCGACTTTTCGGATATGTTTCCGCAGTCTGGCAGCACAATTCCACAGCTTCCACAAGTCTGTGAGCCCCTGATGCACAACCAGAAGCACGAGTGCAAAGGGAACACAGGTGGTCTCCCTCTGCGTGACGGAATTGTGTTTGACAGAGAGATGTCATATTCCCAAAACAATGATCTTGAGAAATGCTGAATCATGCATCTGACAAACAGAGAGACAAAGAGAGACCATGTGGCCTCTGGAGTGACAAGGGAAGTCGTGTTGTGTGAGGGACACAAAAAGAAAGATATACCAAATGTAATACCACTCCAAATATGTTGTTGTCAGCGGCCAGGGGCCACCCACAAGCTGCAGCAAGGCCCTGCGCCAGACGGTGCGAAACAAGGCCCCGTAAAGTGGCTTCAGAGGCCCTGCGCTCAACAGTTGACCAAAGTCAACTGTAACTCTAAATATTGAGGCTCACGAGTCAAAGTCTGCACGGACCCAGTCCAGGCCACCTATCAAACACACACACTTGGTTGTGCGCCAGTATCCAGGCAGAATCTGGTCCAACTGGAGGTCTGCAACTGTATGTGATCCAGGCCATTGGATGTGACCTTCGTACCTGGGAGACCAGAGGCTGGTCAACGACGTCAACAATACTTATTGACCCAGCCCCTGTTGGTCAACATTCAGTCTTGCACTTGCTGCTCGACGTTGGCACGGCGCTGGCTGGATGCTGGCTAAACGCTGGCTTGACGCTGGCATTGTGTGTGACGACAATGCGAGACTCCGGCATTCGTGTTGGCGCCTCCAGCTGGAGACTTGATTGCTTACATGGCACTTGCCACATTGTCTTCTACAATGAATGTGGTATCGACGAGGAGGGGGATCAGGGCAGTGAGACTAGTTGTGAGAGAGAGAGGGAAAATTACCTGATTGATGCTATCGGCATTAAGCGCTGTCGTGACGTCTTCATGGGAGATCTGTGCCTATGTGGCACTATGCTGTAATCGGATTTTGTCAGAATCGTCTCTGGGATACGGTTTGCTGATGTGGCAGAGGGAAGATGCCCAAAAGAGGAGTGGGGTATGAGATAGATCTATCTTCGATGACATTAATGGGTACTTTCCCTTCCACCCTCTAGGTCTTATCCCCCTCCTATCAGTTTCGTCCTCTCTGGTTACGAGACATTGTACGTTAGGTTACATTTCATGATTATTGGAGACACTGACATGCACTGAGATATCTTGTATTTCGACATTGACGAGTTTCCTTCCAGACTGGGTTCATTACAATTTGGTATAGGAGCAATACCTCCTTTGTCGTGATCTGCCGATGCGCGCCGTGACGCGCAATGGTAAGTAGAGGATATGGGCCACTCGTCTCTCGTTTCCCATTTATATGGGCCACGCGTCTCTCGTTTCGCGTTCATTAACGTGTCCGATTGTCATCGCGGGTCTAGACATTGACATCCAAACGCACGGGTCTAGACATTGTCCGATTGGACCGACGACATTGCTGACATGGTGCATTGTTGCTGAGGTTGCGATCGATGACCGAAGAGAGCCGCTTTGGCTGAGATGCTAACGTGGTGCTGGACGATTGGCCAGAGAGGGAGAGAGAGAGAGAGAGAGAGAGAGAGAGAGAGAGAGAGAGAGAGAGAGAGAGAGAACTGCTGACATGGCATTGGGAGTGCCACCCACGTGGCATGGCATATGGGTGCTAACATGGCATCCAGAGGACCAGCGGGGTATTGTCTGACGTGGCACTTACCTGTGTTGCGACTTACCTGCTGACGTGGCGCTTCCAAGGCTCGAGCAGCATATTCAGTCTGACGTGGCATACCAGTGACGAGCGGACTTGGTACTAGCACGCTGCTGACGTGGCTACTGTGACTTCCCATTGACAGCCTTGCCGGCCATTGTTGCTGACATGGCATACTCTGTGGATGTCCTGCGTTAGCCAGGCAGGGATGTGAAACGTGGCAGGGAAGACGTGCGCTGCCATCTACCGTGAAGATTTGTGGGAACGACAATTGCACTTGGTGCACTGAAGGGCGGCACGGCACTGGGTTAAGCAGTAGTGCCACACGTCAGTCCTTGTGTCTGCATTCGAGTTTCTGGAGTGAGACAGCAAGAGGATGATCATCATTGTTGCTGACATGGCATACTCTGTGGATGTGCTGCGTTAGCCAGGCAGGGATGTGAAACGCGGCAGGGAAGACGTTCGCTGCCATCTACCGTGAAGATTTGTGGGGATCGACAATTGCACTTGGTGCACTGAAAGGCGGCACGGCACTGGGTTAAGCAGTAGTCCCACGCGTCAGTCCTTGTGTCTGCATTCGAGTTTCTGCAGTGAGACAGCAAGAGGATGATCAGCTGACACATTGATTGCTTGTGTTGTTGTTGGCTGACTCTACTCACCTGTCGTGGGCTGTTCTGTGGATGCTTGCTGACTCACCGCCTGTGCTGTTATCTTGATCACACTGGCCGTGGCTCCGGTATCTGTACACTCTCGAGCAGGAACGTCATCACATAGGACAAAGAGTGAGAAAATATAGAAAATAATCGAATATTCTGATTCTTATTTATTCTTGCTGCAAAGAATTTGAAGGACTGGCGCCATGAAATTTATTATTAAATTTATTATTGTTGTGTAAACTTTAAACGGCATTCACACGCTGGGAAAAATGACTTACCTCTGGAACTGCTTGTGTGCGTCCATTCTGACCCGATTCATTAAACTTTAAACGACATTCACACGAAGGTGGTGAACTACGAACCCGTGGTCAATTCGAAACAAGATGTGGGCAGATGCTGGGCCATCTTCATCAGCTGCTCACTGAATTGCATGACGCTGGGCCAGAAGCTGAGCAGCATGTTCGCAGCCAGTTCAACCTGTGAGTTGCAGAGGGCGAACTAGTTCAGGCTGAAACGGCTGTTCACCTGCTGGAAGTTAGAAGTTGAGTGCAACATACAATTGATCGGGGCCGAATTGCCCTTCATCAATTAGTAGCCGAGCAATTGGCGAAGATAGTCGGTGATGGGGCCAAGGGAGAAGAACGGGGAGAAGCAAGTGAAAAAAAAAGAAGAGTCTGAACTTACTGAAGAAATAATGGAAAGTACTATTAAGCAGTTGCAAGATGCATTGAATGCAGAGATCAGAAAGAAACAAGAATACCAAAGGAGGAAAAAGGAACAGAAACAACAAGATAAGAAGATAGAAGAAATTAGACAGAAATTCCATTTTGTTGAATCAGAAACTGACCTGGCATCTATACGGCAAGCCTTTCTTGCACATCTAGAGTTAAAGATTGACAACATCAACGCCGAACTGCAGGCGGTGACGATATTGGTGAAGGGAAAGAACAAAGCTGCGCATCAGGACGAGGACGAGGGGAAGGAAGAAAGGAAAGAACCCCAGGAGAAATTGATGAAAGATGCCATGAAGTCTCAGAAAACCCGAGGCCGCAAAGGAAGAAGAACCGGCAAAGAAAAAAAAGTCGGTGAAGAAAGAACCTGAATCTGCGAAGAAGGAAGTTGCAAAGAAAGAAGGGGAACGCGCCAAGAGGAAAGAAAAAAGTTAAAATGAAACTTCTTTTTACGTACAACGGAAACTAAGGAGAACATCTGCTACTGTGGATAGGAGAAATTCAAACTTGTTGTGGTACCCGTCTTGTGGAACCGTAAAGCCAGGTTGCCTTTTCCACTTCCTGTCTGGGAGAAGTCGCAAAGGAATGGGTCCCGTCTGAGGCCAATGCCACCGGCTTCGAAGACATAAGTGGGCGAAAACAATGACCCTTAGGGAATTTCTACACAAAATCAAGGAGAGGTTCCTTCACAAAACGATGGCCGATAAGGCTTTTGACGAGCGCACCACCAGCAGTCAAAAGCGTTGGACCACTGTTGATGGGTTGTCTCACGAAGTGGGCCGTCTGCTGCACGTGCCTGGTCTTAACTTCAAGGATAAAAAGGTGCTGTGTATCAACACTAGAGCGTTGCCTGACCCTATTCGCAGACAGCTCGTCGCCGAAGCTAGGTATAATTACGGCCAGTTCTGTAACTTTACACTCCAGGGGGAGCAAATGACTGCACTGTCATGACCCTGGCCAATTTCGAGATACACATCCACCGGAAAGTACAATGTCATCCAATTGCAGAAAGAAATGAATGAACTTGAGAGGAGACCGAGAGGATTAGAGGAAGAAGAWGAAGAAAGAAAGAAGAAGAAGAAGACGTACACCAGCAAAGACAATGACAAGGCTCTTCTTCTTCGCCCAACAATCTCCTCCTCCTTATCTCCCCCTTCTCTTATTCATACAAGAAATAATAATACAATGTCGAATGACTGATCCAGAATCAATGTCCGAGTCCCTCTACTGCAGGTATCACTCAAGGTCCACCATAGCCATGGCCGCCTCTCCCATTCTTCACTCTCATAGGCCGAGGCTATGGCGGACTGCTGGGCTCTGCTCAGATGCCCAAAGGACAACCCAAAGAAGCTATGGCTGCTCTAGCTCAGGCTGCCATGCCTGACCCTGCCCATAAGCTTCTTTGTGTAGCTCTCCCCGGCTGGGGACTCTCTGCTGCAGCGCCCACCAAGATGATGAAGATGGCTGCCACCATAGCCAGGTAAGTACCCCTGGCGCTCCTCCCCCTTCGTTCCTTCCTCCTCCTTCCTCCCTCGTGTCCTTCTCCTTCCTCCTTAGCAGCGCTGCTCCAGCTTAGCGCTGCTCCACCAATGTGTCGCCAAACTTGCACCCCAAAAAAGAGGCCGGGTCTTCCGCCCGGCCTGAAGATATAGCGGCCTGYTTTGCCTCTTGGGCGGTGACTTCCAGGCCGCTGGCCTTCCCAAGCAACCGGTACCTCCTCCTCTTTTGGAGGGAAACATCATTGCAGACTCTGATATTGCCCCTACAGGCCCTAGACTCAGACTGGTACCCGCTAGACCTAGCCTACACTACCGGCCGCTAAAAATGCCACTTTTGTCTTCTTCTGCTCGGCCTCCGGTACCTGCATATTCACCCCCCTGCCGGGTGCGGTACCAGCCTACCCGCTACTTTAGTGCTTTTTCCCCGCTGCAACCCTTCAAAGCCACGACCACAGGTAAGTACCGGCCCTAAGGGCCCAACGAACGAACAAGTGCCCTGGCGGCCACACACACCCATACCAACCAGCACTCCGACAGGCACAGTCACACGCACGCAAGCCAACCAGCACTCAGACAGACATGCAGTCCAGCGAGCACAC